CGTCTGCCACCTCTGTCGCCGCCCGGGACGATACGTGTCGGTGTCTTGAATTTAAATTGAACGCGTCACGTACACGCGGCTGCTCGTGCATACTTCACCGACGTGCGGACTGTGCATCGCGTGCACGGACTCTCGATATATGCGCACACTCTCGTTCTCGGCGTCGTCGACTACGTTTCTCAGAGCAGACGGTGCGAGCCGCGTCGGTTGACGTTAGCTGCCATATCCCGGTTTTTCTTTTTTTTTAAAGTGGCTCACTCGCGCCGTTCGTCGCCCACGCAGAGCGCGATCGATGATGGCTTTCGCTCGCGGCTTTTCCCCTGCCTCGTTTGGATTCTCGTCACAATGGATGGAGACTGCGGATTACGTTTGCGCGAAGCGGGTGTATCAGCTTGTGCGTGACGTTGATAAGAAAAATGAATGATCTAATATAGGAAGGGACGCGCGTGCATTTACGGTGACTCTTGCGAAACGATTCGCGAAATTTCGTTTCGGCGCCAACGGTCTGAAACGGGTCGAGTCACTCACGAACTTTTGGCGATGTAAATACTCAATGGGACATGCAAATGGTAATGGATGCGTATCTATTACGTGAGAGGAGCTTATACAGCTTTTGTTATCGCAACGACGATAGTACAGTGTGTATCGCCATGAAATACTCGTGAAAAATTATCGAGAGAAGATGTTATTATAGAAAGTGTCAATCGCGCGAAATTCAGAACGCGAATAAACCGCTCTTTCGGCGCGTCGTACTTTTTTTTTCGGTCAACTTCTAGTCGACAAGCGAATACCGAAGGTATGCGACGAAACATATTTCCTAACTCCGCATGTAATTTTTCTTTCTTCTCAAAGTGCTGAATGTCGTCTTAGAAAACTTATTCTTGCCTAACTTGAAGGAACGCGTCTTTGGAACTGACATTCGTATTTACTTTACTTAAACTCCATTTTTCAACTTCACAAAGGAAATCATCTTCAATTCACACGGCACTTAACGTGCGTCGCATCACGTATGCGATGCACTTGAAAGATGCAGCATCTCGTATTTACCGCCATAAATGATCAATCAGCGCGGAACGAAACACGTATTTCTTCGTAAAATAGGTCATTACACGAACGCACGCCCGAATTCCTTGATAGAGAAACTTGCGGTCGAGCTTGCGGTTTTCGTACGTGCCCTATATCTAGTCTCGGTTTACCTACCGGCACGTGCGCGGGCATACCAACGAGATATTTCGTTCTAGACGAAAACCTTTGGATTTCGATTCGCACGGCTTTAACGCCGCGCCATTCCTCGCGTCTCGGAAAGAGTGGTGGAGCTCTTCCTCAGCGCGGATAAGCAGCAGACGTACAGGACATTTCGCATGTCCCTGGAGTGCGTAAAATCTGTCCAGGATTAACTGGGAGCACGTTGTGCCGCGCGATACGTAGACATCTCCGAGATATTCCATTAACATTCCCCAGAGCAACCAAGATCATCCTTAAATGTCCCAGATGGCCCGATGTGATAGCTGCGGAATACAACTGACACACCACGGTGCGAGAAACTCGCACTACGCTCGCGTGCGGGATCCTTGTATTGTATTTTGCAGTAATTAAGGACCGGACTGCGCGGAGAAAAACAGCCATTACTTTAATCTTAATTACTTGATTCATGAAATACGAAAATTCTATTTTATCTTACTAACGAAACTAGCCGCAAACGCAGTTTACGGCTCGCACAAACCGGGTGGGAAAAGAAATATTCATAAGGTAACGCGGTGGAATTGTTAATAATAAAATTAAATGCCTCGTTTTCGTCGACTAATGCGCCCAAATAAATTAGGATCACAGGTGCGCGCCGACTGACGAGCAGCTTATAATCCCACAATGCGCCATCGTCGGCATCGACCGGCGAAGAGGTAGTAGAAGCATTAGAGTCGCATTAGGGGTCGCATTAGAGTCGACGATAATAGTCCGAAATCGGCGGCGAGAGAGAGGCAGGCTCTGCCTGCGTCTCGTAGTCTGCAGAGACGCCCACGATGAGAAGGGCCCACTTCTGCCCGACGCTGTATCCATAATTTGGTGAAGGACCGAAGATGGAGAGTAGCACGGCTGTTCGGAACATTCACGGAATCTGGAACGTAGAGATGCGCCGCCTATTGATCTCTCTTTGTGCCCCCCCGCGCCCTCGCGACTTGTCCGGTTTGATCGCAGGTCCTTGACCAGAAGTCTATATGAAAGTTTACGGAAGGGACGAGTCGCCCGTCGGTCATATCCTTGGAATTCGAAAGAGCGAGGTAAAACGCGCCCATTGAACCAGATGGTACGGACGGCGCGACTTTGCCGTGAATTCCAAACTGATTGGCATCGCGCGAGACTACGCGGCGACCCCTTTGTAAAGGACGCGAAAATTGCGTCTCAAAGTCACGGTTTAATGCCGCCTTGTGAAACGACAAAAGGTTCGGTCGTAAATTGAAATTTATGCGTCGCGGCTTTCGAATTCTCATTTCTCGCCGCGAATATCGATTTTTACGGTGTAACGCGTGTGAATGATGTAATGACATGCGTCCGTAGATTTAAATATCGCAAATATTCGCGGGTTTGGACGAGCTGGTTCGGTTACCGCGTGTCAGATGATAAATCGTGACGGACGTTTTCGAAATTCACGTGCGTGGAAATATAACCATCGATCTGTCTGTACGGGTCGTGCCTTTGTCAACGATAAGCCCGCCATTGACAACAATCGAGCCGTGCGAGCTGTAAAAGCCGTACGTAAAATCCACGAGAGAATCTCTCATGGAGTTATCAGTAATATTTTTTTGTTTACGGTTGCCTGTCCGTACATATGCATCTGTATAATCTCCAAGTTTATAACTGGCGCTGAAAATTAATATAAACGATGCAAAGTGCATTGTAATATAAAAACAAATTTATTAAGTAATTGCATTAATTTCGTATGGTATCGGGATCTATAATTAAAGATAAAATAAAATATATTGCCGCGTCAACAATAGAAGTTTGACGTATAAAATTTGTTTTCGATACTTGTCCACAATATAAACGTAAAATTAACTATCTTTTAATCTAGGTCAAAATTAAAATATGTCATTTATATTCAACTATTTTTTCAGCCGTCTATGTTGATCTACCTTTTTATCAAAAATCAAATGTGATTGAATCGCAATCAAAATTTGAGAATATAATTAGAGCGATGACTCGGCGAAAACGGAACGACGAAATTATTCGCCGGGCGCGAGAGGAAACGGTAGAACGGTACATCTACTTGAAGTCTACGACAATATTCACAACACGTCGCGGAAAGCGCTGTAATGTGCTCTTACCTCTGACAAAGCGAATGCTAATCAAGTAGTAGTACTCCGCGGAGTTCCGCACGCATTAAAATTCATGGCAAATCGATATAACAATTAATCTTAGCACGCGCGGCGCATCGAGTCGTCGTCGTACGTCGGTAATCGATACCCGATAGAAGACAATCAAGATACAAGACCCGGTGCGGAGATCAGGATACGTGCAGCGGAGTTTGTTTCGCTGATTGCTTCATAAATTTACTCCAGCGCCTGATGCGTCCCGCCGGATCGTCCCGTTGTTTATGGATCCTTACGTGGATCCATAATCTACGGAGGGGGGGGGAGGGGAGGGTTCTTACCCTGCTGGCGGGGGGATCCCTCGATGGAATGCAAAACTTGCCCAGGGATCGGCCGTCAGGGCCGATCTTTCCCGTGATCGCTAGTCAATATCGTAAGGAGGCGAAGATCGCGGAATGGTTAATTTTCCCCGAACGGTACGGGAATATCCTTGGAATTCTTGGCGTATTCTCGGAATGCTAAAGACGCGCGGGATATGCCTATTGATCTTTCCGCGGTGGGTTTCCGAAGTGGTCGGTATAGCCGGCGACACGTGACTGCACTCGAGTACGCCGGACACGGCTGAACAGATCGCGTTGCGTCCTTAACACGATGATAATTCCGTTCCGCCTTCCGCACGTTTGTTCAACGGGTTCCGTCGTTCTTGCGTAGGAAACATTACATGGCGTCTGTTACTGCAAAGACATTCCGGGGAGTCGAGACAATTGAAAGTTCATTCCGATTTCTTGAGAAAAAGCAAGAAGGGGCCGCTGCAATACGAGAGAAGAAGAATATTTGAATAGAAAAATAGCGTTAATGCAACTTTGCATCATTAGCAATTTTACTTTTCTACCCCTGTCAAATTATCGTATAATGTGCCTTTCGTTTGTCCGCCGTTATCTGCGCGAGTCAGCGGCTTCCTTGTCGAATGCGATGACAGAATGTCCTTGGGATCGCGAGTGCAGCGGGAAAACTTGCGGTGAAACTCACCACTCCGCTCCGAAAAATGATCCTCCGAGCGACCACCAGTCAGCACGGATAGACGACGATCAGCTCTCGCCGGTGCTCGGAGGTCGTGCAAGAAGATGACAGGGGCGGCACTCCATTATCGTTCTGTAACTCCTTTTAATTATCTCGGCCATAAGTTATAACCGGATTCGCGCTTTTTCGCGTCCTTATCGGGCCAGGGCCGCGATTTTCCCTGGCGCTGGCGAGAGGAAGAGGAAAAAAAGAGGACCACAAAAGAAAGAGAGCAGAGGGAAAGCGAGAGAGAGAGAGAGAGAGAGAGAGAGAGAGATGAGGAAGAGATCGACGAAGGAACAAGGCGCGGAAGAAGAATAAGAAGAACAAGAAGAGGCAAAGGTAGAAGATGAAGGAAAGGGGGATGCGCGCGAGATAGGCGACGGGGTAAAAGGGTGGCGGCTCTCGCTCGGGGGTGGGGAACCGGTCTGATATACAACCGAGCTATGGGAGGAACTCGCGCGCGCACACACGCGAGCGCATGCTAACGCGTACAGGCCACCCACACACAGGCGATGCACCGGAGGTGCACACAGGCGCAGTTCCACGGGCTAAACGGGGCGGCTGCGTGCTCGACGCCCGAGTGGCGCTCGCGCAATGTAGTCCCTCGGCTATCCTCGACGCGGGAGCATCGCCGTTTCGAAAGAGCCGCGACCTTCTCCCCGTCGCGTCGCGCGCCTCGCGTTCCCAGTGGTGTCCAGGGGGTGAAGTTCGCGCGTGAGGGGCCCGCTCGTCCGTTTATCCCGTGAATTGTCTCTCTCGCGGACCTTTTCGCGACGAAGGGCCGCGCGCGCGAATCAACATGGAACAGCAGCCTCGCAGACTCCGTCCCCGCGCTATCCGGAGTTGACGAAATACGTATCGTGCTTTCGTGCGTTCTGTCCCCGGCTTCGCTTCATCCGAAAACGTTTCTCGCGGACGTTCTCCGCCGACGTCCCGACGTCTGTATTGCGAAGCGCGGAATAACGCGGCGCGAGAGAGTGCGTTGGGTACTCTTGGGGCGTTCTCGTACGGTCTACGACCCCGCGATGGTGTGACAGTATAGTGATCGTATGGTGAAGCAGTGTCCGCAAGCAGTGACAGCGCCGGTCGAATGATCGAGCCGGAAGATTTCGATCGTTCAGCGTGCCGCTCGCGCGGCGCTCGATCGCGACTGCTGTGAGATCCGAGTGGAGAACGTCGAATATTTCGCAGCGCCGTTGGACACTTCGGAGCTTGGAAAAATAATCACGCGAACACTTTGTCATCGCGAAAATGATTAAATAGTAATTGTCAAGCAATAAATTCTTCACTGCCCGTTTAGAAAAATTATAACCAAGATTGTTCCTGTAACAGGAAAGAGAAAAAAAGTATCGTCGGTCGTTATCAAAGTAGAGGATAGAGATTGTCGATCGTGAACAAAGGCATATGTGAGTTTCAGCGCAAATTCCGTCCTGCAGTGCTTCGCTTTGTCAAACATAAATTCCGCGTGAAGTGACTTCCAGCTTCTTGACAGGAACCTCGCTCTCGAGCATCCCGTAAACGTCGTCGGGCTGCGCGGGTCTCTCGAGGGTTCCACATTTAATTGCCATCGGACGTGCAGAAGTGCGTTGCAAGAGGAACGAACGGCGAGGGTGCAATAAAAAAATTCACGTTCGCACGGCCCATCGAAACGACGGGGAATCGTGCAGCGGCGGCTGATGGGGAGATGTTAAAGTTAAAAGCCGCTCGTAAAACGCGTCGTCTCGCGGGTGCCACAACGCTGCTGTTACGCGTACGGAACTTGTTTATCTCGGCCGCGACATTGATGCAAAATTGAAAGGCCGGGAAAAATAATCTTTCTCTCCGTCTCTCGACGCGCAAGATCGAGCGAGAGAGCTCTCTTACGGAGTTGCGAAAACGAGCGATTTGTGCACACCGATCGTCGGAGTAACGACGGCTGTCGTTAACTCCGACTAAAAGGAAGCAAAGTTCCCTCGAACTCCTTGTTTGTGACTGCTATCGAAGCACGGTCGAGTCTTCGCGAAAGAGTAATTGCTAGCCCGGAAAAATGCGGCGGGGCCGCGCACACGGGAAGAACAATCGCGGCGAAATGATGGATGGTACGTCCGGTTCATCGCGCAGATTGCATTAATAACGACGATCGGCCTAATGCATCGCGAGCGATCTTACGAACGCCGATGTAGCGAGATGCACGGAGACGACGTTTAGTGCCGGGACATCGATCAACATGGATCACACAGGAGTAATCTACGTCGAAAGAATGAGTGATAACGATGATGCGGAGATCGCCTAAGTGCGTGTGAGGCCGATAACACGCGGTCAAAGTTGAACGTTGACGCGATTGACGACGCCTGTGCGATATGAAAAACAGGCCGTCCGGTGGTTAAATCCGACGTAAACTCAACGACGATTGTCGGCGGACGGACGTGAATTAATATTTAAATAAAACGCCGGGTTAATTATTAAAAGCCTGGTTAGCCGATGCGGTTGCTCGCGCGAAGGTACGTGACTCGCGAAACCGCAATACGTTTCTCTGCATTAGTGACGTCTGTAATTGGGAGAATGCGGCACCGTCGTGGAATCGTTTTGTGATAGTGAGAGAATTATTAAACAGTGGCAGCTGCTTCATTTAACGCGATTTCATTGACGCGGGGAAAACTAATTAAGCGTAACGCTCTGTATCGTGCGAGCGGTATAGTAAAGCGAGATTTTACGCCAGTCGTTCGCGAACGTGAGTGACTGTGCATGGATGTACGGTGGTACGAAGTGATTCTGTCCCGCACCGATCGAGAATACGTGGAATGCCGCGATCGTTGCTAGTGTGCTAGTGGATCCACTCCCACCATTGGGAGTGAGCGTCTCTTGAAAACGGCCGCGTCGAAATGCGTCTGAGATAGTATATCAGTATGTGATTGAGCCACGCCGGGGAAAAGCGATGTCTACTTCTCTTCCCACACTTGTCTGTTTTATAATTTGTTTTGGTAAGTGGACCACTCTATTCATCGTTTAAATCGATACGATAATAATGAATAATTGTAAAAAAAGAAATGCTTCACGATTAGAGGAAAATATTGATCGCCAAACATTCGCGGATCAAAGTTGATTAGCGTTGTAATAGATCTCTGTGCAATGTGTATTTAATTCAGCTGCAACATGTATTCAAATATCGGGAAAATCCAGATTCATAATTGCGCAGCCATTACATCAAACAGATCACGATTTTCGAGCTATCGATACGCTAATATCCGATGCATTCACGTTAATTGCACGCGCAATTATTGAGGCGCCTAATAACAGCGGTATATTACGTGGCTTTAACGGCTGTATGCTGTTATGTTACGTTCAAGTCCCAAGCACGTACGTTCCAATTAATGTTTCGTGACTTGACGCAGTCAAGTCACCTGTGCAAAAGGGTTTGCTGATGACTGCGACGAGCCTATGTGCAATCTGCATGCGGTACGCGTATGTGCGCGCTAATACGCGACGCTATTTCGGCCACGAGTTTCTCGGTGAAAAATTCCGGAATTGCAGCAAAGAAATATATTCTGAGATACACGTATAGTTATCAAAATATTATTTGCATCTGTTTAAAAGCGTTACCGTGCGTAACGAATGCTGTGGAATGTACGCGTGAGAAAATGGAATGTATAAAACTATCATGTAATATGCGACATTCTAATGGGTTTTATTATAATCCAAAATAAATTTTCGGTAAAATATTTATGTAAATTTGCAAAAAAGTTTTTGTGAAATACAAGGCAGAATTTATAATAAAAGGATACTTGCGTTGTTAAAAATTGAATTAATTTGCGTGTTTCAGAATTGAAATTCTATTGAATACAGAAATCATCATGACATTTTAATGAATCGAAAGCACGCACAGTGATTGTTGTGAATTCTACAAGCGCTTTTCTTTTACTATACTTATAAATGCTAATTTTTTCTACAAGTATTTTTATTTTACTATACTTATAAATGTAAATTATCTCTTTTTTTATGCACTTTTTTATGACATTGCATTTATATTTCTTTTTCTGAAAGAACTTATAAATTTTTATTTTTAGCATTCAATATCGCTTTTAGCACATATGTCCGCGCGTTTCACTGGAAATGTGCCGATGGAGGACTGAGAATTCTCTGTCGGAAATACGCCGATACTTGGCGCTCCGCGCAAACGACGCAGACATCTCAAACTTTCTCGTGGAAATACGCGAGGCATGGTTCCGCAAAGTTCGCGATCAGCACGCCGGCGATAAAAAAGCACTTTGGGAAAAAGGACAGTCTGCGAACTTGGTGCTATTCATTCGCGAGCTGCGAGTATAATCAGATACCGTCGAAATGACTGAGCAAAAAGCGCACCAGATAAGCACATTCGGTGAGCATCCGCGCTTGTGTTAATTTTCAGCACACAGCTGATAAAAGTTTCAATAAAATGTATATTAATCGCCGATGTGGCGCACCGGCGTTTACGTTCTGCGTGGCTGTTTTCAATTTATGAAATTCGATGTGACAGCACTCCGTCGAAATTCCGCGATAAACCTAGCTCCCATTTCATTCGGATACGCAAAATGCTGAACCGAGGAGGGGGGGGGAGGGGGGCGGTGTGTAAAATGAAAAGAGCATCGGCTCTACAGTGACAGCGCGTGCATATTTTAACCGACCTGCATCCAGCCACCGGCTTCAACTACCGCAGCCGCGCAATATGTGCATACATATGTGATAAAGTACCTTTATCCGCTAACATTTGGAACGATGGTTAAAATAAGACGCTACACAAGTGTACTTAAGTCATTAACGCAATGCGCTATACCGTGCTCTTATAAAACTTTATACATGCTCATGCTAAAAGGAATAAAAAATGTAAGGATATCATAGCAATAGTTACAGATTGTTGCAAAAGAACGTATTACAGTATCGAGGTAAAGACGCGTTGAGGTTCATCGGATCGCCTAAAGACCAAGATCCATCGGTAAAGTTTTGAAAAGACGGAATTACACGCGGATCGATGTAATTTCTGTCCTGATTCGCCGCGAAATTCGCGTTCGAGTTTCTTCGACAAAATCAACGTCGTTGCGAAATCGCCCTCGGCAATTTTCCCGTGCGTCGACAGCGTTTCCGCGTTTCACCGAATGTTCGCGACAACTGTCACGGCGCAGTTAAAACGTCTGGAGAAGGGGAAAAAACAGAGGCACAGTGGTATAACAGCGCTTAATACTACTGCACTGCGATTCTTTTCATTCTTCACTTGCGCACTCGTTCATCCGTTTTCGCACGTGACGGCGTAATTAAAAGCAACGACGGCAATGAACCGCGTATCGCGTCGTAGTCGGCTGTTAAAATTCAAATTTCAGTTAACTACTGTCACACCGAGCGCGAAAGATGTAGTTTTAATTCCACATCGGAACGTCGACACGCGCTGCGCAATTCATATCAATGCACTGACAAAAAAAGGACGATAAGTCACATGACAAGAAATATGTGTTTTAATTTTATATTGAAAATTATTTGACGAGTCAAATTAATATTTCTGATGCAATGGCGAGCGTCGAATGTCACAGCGCTAACACAATTTAGGAATAATTTTATGATTTTCGCCTTGTAATAATAATTACGTTTGTATTCCACGTTATAATTGATTTGTTTTTCTGATTGGACAATTGCGGAGCAGCTGCAACCACGCGCTCGCCATTTATCATGTTCCAGACGTTTATTATCTAACGACTCATTAGCAGCCTCACGCAACACTCTATTCGCCATGATTCACGATTCGCACTAACGCGACGCGTTATTAGCACTTTCAGGAGGGGAGAATCCCGCCGCGCAGACGTATGCCGACTGTGTTAAAACTTAACGAGCCGTACTGCCGGTATGTTGCTGTAAACGTGGATTATTGCAACGACAAAGTCAAAAGCCGTACGTGTCAACATACGCTTCCTGCTTACCGTTAACAGACGAATTACATGTATGACGCGTGCGTGCGTTTACGTGATAGCTGCCAGGAGTATGTGATAGCTGCGTTTCCGCTGCGGAAACGCAGCTATCACATCCTAGAATTCACAGTCGAGAATCTACGTGATTTCCCGTTTCCGCCGACACAGCGTTACTTTATTACTAAATCCTACAGTCGTCTTGACGAAATAATGCCGCGATTTCAACCAGCCAGCGAACTCGTAATTGCATTTAATGAAAACAGTAATGACGCGTCACGTTGCAAAATAATTTACTTGCAAAATTATAATGTGACACGACATTAATAATTGAATTAACAGTTTGCTCGCTCGTTTTCGTGTCATTTACTTGAAAGTTTACCGCCACATTGACAGCCGCCGGATGGTAGATCACTCGCAAGGTCGCGTAACAGTGCCAAAAACTACTTTCATCGCTGCCACTTTGCAAAGCATATCGTAGCGGAGGGTAAAAGCGACGCGAAAAGTTTTCGCGACAGTTACTCACGCCCCATCTTCCCTATCGAAAGTCCCGAGTGTGCGGCGCGCGCTCGATGGAAGACGGAAAGTCTACTAACTTTCAGGCGCGCAAGTAGTACATTAGGTAAAGAGGTAAACAGGCAGATGGGTCCATGGACCGAAGCGTTAGTTATGTAGACAGATAAATAGATGGACATACGAATCGTTCGTTATGCTCCCGTGGATTTGACCCCGTAAAATCAATGCGAAACGCAGAGACGGCACACAATGGGTCTTTATAATGGATTCAGAAGCGAAAACAAGAATGTAGGTCCCCCAGCGAGACTCATCGAAAACGTAATGAACTGAAATACAAAATTACTTGACTATTTATGAAAGTTTCTCTCATAGCGGACTGTTTGGCGAATATTTTCTAATTGTTTTGCGAAAGTTTGTCGGAACATAATTGCGCTTTGAGCTCGATGAAATTAAACAAAGTTAACAATGATTGTTAATTTTACAATGTGACATTTCACTGCAGCGTCTGGGTGCGCGAAAAGTTTTCATTGTGTTGCTAAATTACTTTTTTACGCTAACATTTAACATTCCTTGACATAATTGAGACTCATCGTAACGGGTTGAATGTTTTAGATGTGTATTTTTCGGTTTAATTGTTGCGAAATGCCTGATCCGATTTTTTAAATATTTTTTGCAGAATTTGAAATAACACTTTCATTATTATAACATTTCGAATTTGCATCTACTACGAGATGTTAATTACTATCGCGCAAACACTCCAGCAATGCGCACTTGTATAATTCATCAGATAATTAGCAGTTCGCTTATTCAAATCTCAAAATGAATCAGACAGCTCGAATTAACGAGCAAGCTGGTACTAATCTCCAAGCTGGATTATCGTCGATTTTTCAAACGCTTCTGGCAGCTGCTAATACACGAGCGCTACAGACCGACGCTCAGATACGACAGTTTTTGCAATCGGCGAACCACTTTCGCTCTCCTGCTCTTCTTCTAGCCGTTGAAGCGCGACCGTTGCCCGCAGAAGCTCGCGCTAGCCGACTATCGGGAAAAAGGAGAAAAAAGAGCTTGAAAAGAGAACGCCGGACAGGGGATTCGAGTGCTAGGAAACAAAGTTGGCTTATCCGACCGTGGGAGCGAAGCCGGTTACACGGGGAGAGACGACGGGACGGGAAATAGGATTTTGCGGCCGACTGACCAAACCAGCCACTGTCCTTCAATGTCCGAAAGAATCCACCTCTAGCTTGACGAATGAGTCACGATAGTCGCGTCCGACGGACTTTTCTCTCGCGGGACGTTAGAACTGAAATAATTATAATGGCCGCGCAAAGCGTTCGCACGTTTCATTCAATCTCCGCGAATTGAAATGGTTCTTTACAATTTCCGGGAACGGCGTCGATCTGATATCCCGAGCGATAAAAAAAGACAAAAAAAAAAGATGGACGTTTACTAACAGATCTATCGTACACGGGTACCCACATCCCTATCTTCTCCTCTATTAGTTCACGGCTTGAAGTGGCGCCAATTTCGGGATCGATCAGTTCGCCGTGATATCCTTCTCTCCGTGGTATCGAATCGATTTCGTCGAAAATTCCATCACGGGAGATCGGGAAGACGACGGTAACGCGCGCGACGAGCGCGACGATCGAACCCGCGCAAAAATCGTTCCTGTGGATTCGAGCGCGAAATTAATTTCCGGCGCAGGATCATGGATAATCCGTTGCCTATGATAAATTTGCCTGGCAAACGCGTCTTTATCCCCAGCTATCTCCTGTGTCTAGTATATTTCGGGAACTGATCAGATCTTTAGGTTTACATAGCGTATTTGCGACGGGCAGGCGCAGGAAGTGATGGTCGATCTTGGAAAGTAAGATCACAAGATTCGATCGCGAAGATTGGAAGGAATATGCAAATGTTTAAGGATTAATCTAGCCTTGCCGAAAGAAGTTGAAGCGATTTATTGGTTTGCGAATTAATAACGAAGTCAGAGAGATAAAAAGGTCATTATTGAAGTATTTCCCCGACGGAGACGCCAAATCGCGACGTGAAATTAAATCGTTTATTCGAATTTTAATAAAGGGAAATTATAAAGTGACATCCGAAACTATATCGATTCGTAACGAAGGGACAATCCGCGCTCGCAATTTCCGAGACAAAATTAATTTCCAGTATAACAGAACGGCTCTTGGGCGATCTCGATAATCAGGGGTAAACTTGTTTCAACTACCTTCCGGCTAAAAGGACCATAAAACTCTATCCGCCGATGATCGTTCGAACCAATAGCGAGCCCATTGCGTCCAACAACGTTCTTTACTAAAGAGATTGTAATCTGATTGCCTTTGACACATCGTCAGAAAATGCACTTAAATCATCAGCGCGCCCGCTCTCTCATATTAATAATAATCATCGATAAGATAAAAACGCAATTGTTTCGCGACACGAAAGATTGCGCTGCACATTTGCTCGTGAATTATGAAACGCGAAATGCCGTGACTGGTTGTTATCAGCTGTTTCCATATCCGTATAATTTCATTTGCATACAGAACAAAGTCATCAATAATTTAATATTTCTCTTTTATGCCCAATAACATATTTAAACATCCTGTTCCGAGTTTAAAACGCAATAGTGATCGCGTTAAATAAATTTGCATCAACGATTATTCTTAACTTTATGGTATATAAAGATACGTTATTTCTAGCACCTCGATTTGTAGCGCAGCTACAAATACTTGCGAAAGTCTGGTTATAGAAATAAATGATTTAGGAAAAAGAAAGCTTGCATTCAGTCGCTGCAAGGAAATATCGTGGTAGCTCCAAGTATTCAAAACTGCATGTAGATGTGAAAAAGAGATGCTTAAGAGACGTCTGAGTAGTTTACGTCCCAATTAAGCCAAAACGTTCTAATTGAATACGTCGTCGCGGGAATAAATATCGTCGCTCCAATTGGCAGGCATTTCTCGCCGGAAATTTCGATGAAAAGCACGCGGACGAATTTCTCCCGCATGTAACGCGACGAAGTTTCTATGAAAGAATTTAGATAGGAAAATTAATTTCGCGGACGGAGAACGGATGATGTTTGCGCGAACGCGCTCACATTCGAGGAAGGGCGAGAAACCTCAGAAACGGACTCAACAAGCGGCGGTCTTGCAAACGAGTGGCTCGCGAGCCCCAAGGTAGAACGCACCCGTCACGGAAGTGCTTCTGCCAGCTGAAAGTTTTGAAAGGTAATTACGAAGGCCATTTTATGACAATAAGTGCGCAGGCAACGCTTGACGTCCAGAAAATCTATCCGTTTCAAAGTTTCGAATTATCCGCAACGGCACGTCGGCCAGTATTTCGAAAAGTTCGACGAAATTGTAGGGACGAAGAGAAATAGAGTGCGCCGGCGGCGATTACGCTTAATCCTACCATCGATGAAGTTTGATATTACGCGCACGTCGACGTCGCCTTTAAACTTCGTGGCGCTTACGAGCCCGGAAGCTATTCTCCCGTTAAAGTCCGGGGATTAACCGCTGTCTTGCGGCGATGTTAAGAACATGAAAAATGCGTCCATTTTTACACGCGAATATAATTTTGATAAAATCGATAAATATTTCGAGAAAAAAATTAGCATTAATTTACTTTATATTCTTTATATTCTTTATATTCTTATTATTATTATTTCGCTAATGTCCTAATCTTTGTGCAATTTGGAGCATTTATCGAGCATCTCGAAACTTTTCGAAGGGTTTATGGAAGTTCAAATAGAATGTTTAATTCCCGTACTGCGCATTCTACAAGATTAATATCTTTCTCGAATTTAACGCGAAAGTAGTTTGATTAAATTACGATAATTCGAGGATCTTCGGTCTCCAAAGTATCGTCGCTGACAAAGCAGCGCGGAAGTAGAGCAAGTATCTCCCGGTTGAAATCAACTCCGGCATGAGCGCGAGCGAGAGTGCGCGCAATTCCGTACTAATCGCGAACTCGGCCCTAAACATCGCACAGTCGGAAATTCGCGGCGCACGGCTGTCTGGCTTTGTGAAGCACTTGACGAAATATAATTCGCAACTGAGAAAGTGCTTGCCCGCACACGGGCTGATCCGGAAGTGCAATTCAGAGTTGGCGATAGTTCGTGCGTGCACCCCGAGTATTTGCGCCGCTGCAGTTGGCTGTATAATTCCGCGTCTTAATCAAGCATCGCGAATTCAAGTCTAAGAGTGCGGATTACGTGAGACGGATGAATTATTCTCAACGTCGCAGACCGAACAATTACGTCAGCTATTTGAAAAACGCCATTAAGTAACATCAATGCTTTGCATTTTTAATTGCGAATTAAATTACACCAGAGATTTATGTTTTTTTTTTAGTCCTGGGAAATATATTCTTCGCGTTACTCGTTATATAATGTAAATATGCAAATGTTTGTTTATTCAAAAAGCAGCAGCATGAACATTTTGCCAGAATGCATTTGGGATACATTTATTAGAGAGAGGTAAAATGATAATATAATTGAATTATATTTAATAATCGTAATTGCACGTCACACACATGCAAAAGCATATAATTTAGCGTCGTTCTAAAATTATGGGATGGTAACGCTAATAAAAATTGAATAAGAGAAATTATATGGGTATCTGGTTAGAGCCATTGATGGTAATTTAATAATATTATACACTGCAAAGAGTGGACCAAATGTTTCATCGTACAGAGCTAGCTGCGATACGCGTACTGCTGATGGTGATGTTTGCCATCCGCGCAAGAGGTTTCAAGCTGAATTAAAAAAAAAAAAAAAAAAAAAAAAATAACAGCCGCACGGACCATGCTTGTTATTTCTACGTTCGTTATTTTTCAAGTGATGTTTGTCGATTTTTATATCGCGGTGAAATGACTTTGCGTCGAAAATTGTAATGAATCAAAGGCGGCTAGAGTTAACGAAATCCAGAGTGACTGAAAGCGAAATTGGTTCGAATTAGGGTTGCTTCTCTACAACTCTGTCGGTTTTTTTTCTCTTTTTTCAATGAAATCCGCGTTTCAATCAATTTTTTTTATATATATTGGTTTTTTCTAGCGAAAGTTTGCAATGCGAAAATATACAACTTTTACGAAAAAAAACTATTTGTGACAAATTAATACAGAAAAACAACACAAGAGAAATCTATCGAAAATCTATTGCGCTTTGCTGGAATATTTTTCAAATATCGCGAATTTTCGATATATTCTCATCGGCGAATTTATGCAGGTGTCGTTGTACTTTGTTGTAAGATATTGATGTCATAATCTGTAATGTATAATACGGGCTTAAGAAACGCGCTCTTCGTGCTGCTATTAATAAACGCGCCACTGCGTTTTTTGCCGCGCAGCAGTCACAGAGGCAGCTGGCTTCAATAGAATAATCCTCCCATATGTTCCGCGGAACGTTCGCAAGATACATGAGAAAGAAATATCTCTCGAATAGCGAGCGCGCGCGCGCGCGCGCGATACGCTTAGCGACTGGTAAATGCGCAGTATGCGTGTATACGGTATCGCGCGCGGATTTCAGGGGAAATCCGGCTGTACCTGTAAACGTCGCGCCGCCGTCACGAAAAGGAACGTTACCGTCACGTCAAGATATAATGTGATGTATTTAAATAGGTCCGTTCGCGCGCTGCCACGCGAACCTTCGCGCGCGCGACTGACGTGCCGCGACAATCCGTGACGTTGATGTTACGTACGATCCCCATCGTGAACGCGAACGTTAAGGGCCGTTGCCCGTGTTTCCGTCCGACACTTCGGGTGTCAAGTGGCATCGTAGAATGCGATGCACCGTAAATCCGAAAATCGGCCGGCACTCAAAACGGTCCCGCGCGCGCCGATTGTTAGCGCGCGCTCTTCGAGGACACCCTCGTGGAACATCTATGTACACGTTGTATAAAAAGTTACGGGACATTCAATTATTTCCCTGACGATCGTTACCCAGTTTCGCGTGTTGCCCCGTTAACACACTTGTTACATTTTTATACTACGCTATAAATCGAGGAACACAAATAATACTGCCAAAAATTGAATTTGATAGATTTTGTCAGAAATCTTCTTTATATAAGAGCACGATAAATTTATTTGTATATAATTCCGCACAATCTTAAATTGACTAATAAATGTTTTTTCATCAAAAATAGACTCTTTTTCAAGAGACTCGCATGATCACGAAGAGTACTTTTGCTTCCAGGTGGAATAGCGTCATGTCTACGAAACTTTCGGACCGATTTCCTGGAAGAATGGCCGACGCCGGGCACCGGACCTCACTTCGACACTTCTATGCAATCGAACTTCACCGGTCTGGTGGGGAAAACGGTGCATCTCGTGTGCAAGGTGAAGAACTTGGGGAATCGAACGGTAAGCCATCGGAAAATCTATCGTCTGGTTCGTGACCAGAGGCGCTATATCTTAGCTCGAAGCGGACAGTGCGCTGGCCGGGCCACCCCACGCCGCTGTTGAATAATTTAAGGGTAGGGCTGCACGAACGACCTTGCGACCCTTCCTCGCGATCGTAGCGGATACTTTAGTGGCGCCTCACGTCGCCAGATTCGCCCGCTCGCTCGCCACTCGTTAAACGATTTTCCAATCGATCGATGACCCGGAAACTGTCATCCCAATCGTAGGAAAGTATAAATAACTGAATAAGCGAGTGTCACGAATTACCGAGTTAATCAAATATAAAAAAATATCTTCTATCAGAAGGTTCTTTAGCGATAATCTGTTATTTATTATCTCGCTTTATCAGCAGACTAAAAAGAGTCGCTGAAACGCTCGCTCGCGCATAAGTATTTTAATCCAAATGTGAGATTATATTATTATGATATTTTTCTAAGGATCACGCGTCTAATTCTTTGTCTTCTTTAACTGAATTAATTATAATAATGGCATAATGGCAGGCGCGTAATGCAAATATCTCTATGATCCACGTGTTTCGCTTATGAAATATAAAATCGCTGTTCTTACACGATGAAGTCTGTGGCGCAGTTCGTCCAACGTAAATGGGGCTATTAAATAAACATTACTGTTCCTTCATCGTGCACAGTGCCGGCGTCTCATGAAAAAGGCAAGCGATGTTAGCGTTTATGTTCCTGAATTATTAACCATTTTTCTTATGCAACGAGCGAAGCATTTTTTTCTACCTCCGTTTGCATTGTGCGTCGACGAATTACGTCGCTTTGGAAACAGCCTCGCAAATTTGCACCGGTACTCCAGTTAGATCATTCCAGCTGGAAATGTTTTCGGTGTTTGAACGTGTTTCTGTCGTCGCGAATTAAATTCAAACTGCCGCTCGCACTCCGTTTAACAGCGATATTATTTTCTCGCACGCTGCTTCTCTCTACTCGGCAACGCATTCGAACATTGCAGTTAATTTCGCCATCTCTTGTTGTACGGCACCGCGGAATAAACGTGTACAAAAGTGGAGAATAACCGATTGACCGCGTAAGTACGAGGTAGCATGACTACATACGATCAATCGATCTTAAATTTTTTAGAAACACCGCTCTGCCACGAAACCGGTTCCGCATACCGATGTTCTCTCCTTTCTTTCTTTCTTTCTCTCTCTCTTTCTCTCTTTTGGCTCTCCTATAACTACATATTTATTACATTTAAATTTCAGATTTGCGTGTGCTCGTAATAAAACTCGGGTAATTTCCACGAAATTACCGGCGCATTTTGTTCCCTCTAAAAATCGAACGTACCGCGCGCGGTCGTTTCAGTTTGAGAGTATCGTTTGGCATCGCGATTACAGTAGATGTTGCATCGAACCGCTCGAGTCACGACACAATTCTTCTTTCGTTTGTCATCGCGGAATCGAGGCCGACGTGTTTACTTCCGATGGAAAAGTGCGAGTGTGTCGGAACATTCGTCATTCGAGTTTACAAAAGCCCCGTTTACGCTCCGCGCTCGCGATGTACACTTAAATCCGTCCTCCCGAGCTTGCCTCGTTGATGCGATATCGTCGGATCTGTTATGATATATGATATATGCTGCCATTGCATATGCGTTAGAAGATCAAGCGCTCACCTACCACTGCCCGTTCGCAAAGATACATAATTACTGGTTGTTTGCTCGGACCGGTTAAGAAGCGCTGTGAATACATGACGGATGATAATGACTGTCTTCATTAGCAGACGCATAGGCACCGTAATCCGTTCAACTCGGTTTGAGTTTGGTTTACCTTCTCCACAGAAAGCAGATTCAACATCGTCACGCAGACTGTCTTGTTAATCCCCGCTACTTTAACGGAGCATGAATATAATTCGTTAATAACGAGGACTTTGAGAATTTTAGCTTCAAATGGAAGTCTCTTTGCTCCTGGGAAAATTTTGACTTTCAGAGTAAATTAAATTTAGAAACGAGAACGAACTGACAATGGAAATATGATTCATTTCATATTTTAAACGTTATTTGTTATTTTACTTTAATGGAAACGATAGCTCACGTTAATGGAAACGAAAATATTAAGTATGCCGGCGGATCTTTGTTTAATGCTCACTACGCAGCGCAGTATGTTCCGCGTTATAGATAAATCAGCCGATTTTGGATCGATATCACAACGATGCCGTAACGATACAACGAATCATTGACCGCGATTTTATCTTCTGCATTTCCAAATATCCGACTCGCGGCCTCCCGATAATAATTGGCGATCAGGCAGTTTATTCGCCGCGCGAACACGAGAACGGCTCGTAATCGCGCTCACGCTCCGAAAACGCGCGGCTTAAACGTCCACAATGGACCGTTGATTAACGGCGGATTCGTCGAACGATGTAAAAACTTGATAAACGAAGCATAATCGCGAACACGGGCTACGGCTTTGCGCCGTTCGATATTACACGATTTCCGTAATGATTTATGAATATTAATCGAACGATATGTCTCCCCTCTTCATCCTCTGTCCCCTTGGATGTTTGAATCGCGCACAATTGAGCGCTGTCAACGCGCTCTGATCGCGAAATTAAACTGGACAAAATGTGTGTATCGGGTGTGCTCCCGCACCAGTTTAAATAGCGATGTTGACAAGCGCTTGCGTCGATGCGCCGTGCGCAACCTTTAGAGATAACGTTTCGCGACGCGAAGCTAATAATATTTATTACATCGCTGTAAAACATTAGTACACGCCGAAAGCTATTAGAGAATCACACGCGCGTCTCTTTTTACGCGATATAAATTATTTAAAAAAATATATTGACAAATCTTTCGGAACAAGATTATTCTTGGACAGATCCTTATTATTTCCAGTTTTATAAGTATAGATCTACTCTCTTGGAATTTTTAAAGTGCGCGTCGCTGTGCGCTTTTATTTTGTTGTAGTGCTCAGGCTAAGCTAAATTACTGCTGTCAGTAGATTCTGGATGGGGTTTTTGCCCGTTTTCTGAAATAAAAGCTACGCTGCTACAAAGCACTCAAGATTATTAGAAAGCGTGCCGTGCGCTTACAAAGTGTGCTATCGTCTTTTTCTTGCCCCGCTGCAGAGATCGAAGGGATCCCCATGTCGCGAAAGCTTCGGTCGATCATCGTCCTTTCTTCGTTCGACAAGAACTTCGTGATTAAAGAATCGATCGAATAAAGAACCCATGTCACATTTATGGTGTGCTATGATTATCGAGCTTAAAGTTTGCTGCAAGTTAATTATTGTACGGCAACAATTTATGAATTTATCCTCCGCAAACTCTCCAAGCACAGTCTGTTGTGCCATTAAATCATTAACTTTGTATTATAATATTAAATTATGTATATTATGTATAATATGAGATATGTAATACGAATAATAATTATTTATGATGATTGGTATATTCATGAGTAACTGGAATTTCGGTGAGTTTGCTCGATGTTAAAATTTGATTTGCATTATTCCACAATTATACGAAATTCTTCTACAGCGTCACTCTCGCGCCGCGTAATATACGGTCGTAGTTTCTCTCCCCGTAAAGTCATATAAGTACACGGTGCGGAGGGGTGGTGTCGTGCATAGTATCATGCGCCATCGCCATGCCGAGGTTTCGGTTGAATTTCACCAAACAATGCAGCGGTTAATGCCAATGACACATACGCGTCATCTCGAGTGCGCGAGAGTTGGTGCAAGTGCCGGGATTCGGCGCTGAGATGGGACAATGCGAAATCTCTATCGTGACGTCATACCTGCACCGCGACATAGCTCATATAAGCGAATCTAGGAACGCGACCCATCTACAGCCGCGGCTTTTCAACCCTTTATTACCCCGATGCGAAGCTTGCATAGGTTAACCGTAATATCGCCGTATATATGGATCTAAATATTCTCGACGATGAAATTATACATTTTATATACAATATTTACCGTCAGAAATTAATTATATATAATTGTTCTTCAGTTTAATTTATACAGTCTAATTTATACCTTTATATTGCGATATATTTAAACACTGTTATCAATTCTAATTGAATTTTGTTTATGTAACTGAGTTGTACAAGTTGCAATTTAATTCTATAATTTCTAAATAGGAAAAATACACTCTCGTTTCAATGTGAAAGCTGTATATAAGCTTCCAATTTCGCGCAAAATGATTGGCTTTATTTTCACTCGAGTTACAGAACGTAATCCTTCCATTTTGCAAATAAGCCGCGCTTTAAAGCTGCATGAAGATAGTGAATACAGTCGGATCCAGGTGCAGTAAAACGATCGCGACCGAAAACCCGCCCAGATCTGTAGAATCGATTTCAATAGCCGACTACCAAAAACCTGACTTTGCATTCGCACAGCGTGTTAGGTGCGCGCGGCACGACAGTTGCGACACCACTGTTTTCCTCGTTCCGTTCTTCAGCGCCGGCAACCACGTCGCTCCCGCCGGGATAGATAGATTTTGTTTGGCTTTCAGCCGGCAACGCTAATGCCAATAACACGGTCGTGTCATCTCGAGAGCTCCAGCTGGCGCAGGTGCCAGATGCAGGACGAACCAGGACAAAACGAATCTCTCCATGGCGACGTCACTCTCATCGAGAGGACGTCAACCCGCGATCGGTTAATACATCAAAGCTTCCGTAAAATGACCCGAAAAGCCGCGTTATCAGCTCGGCCTATCCGATTGCGCAAATACTTTCCCTTCCTCCGTTAAAAAAAAAAAAGCTACACCAGACTTTTACTGATGTCAAAATATTACAAAATGATGAAAAAGATTTTAACGTGTAAATCTTTTGTATTTTTTTTTTTTGAGACGTCAATCGCTGTTCTACCTGACGAAATTTTCTTGATTTATTAATCCCAATAGATTTTGCTCGAATTAATCTTGAAATGTCCATTTTTGAAAGAGTGACTTGAAAAATGAACATATCACGACCTGAAAAATTTTTCGCGCAATTATAATTGGGACGGATAAAAAATGTATTCTGCAAAAGCATTATCTTCGGCCAGAAGTAAAAGATAAAATATGCAAAATGAGGTGAGAATCCGATAGCTTTCACCGCGTTAGCACGATCGATTTCACCGGTGTGGCGACGGAAGTAATTTCATCGGATATTAAAGGACAGAAGTTAATTATTCCGTTGGCGTTTATATTCGATACGTATTTTATGAGCCGCGTTAACGGCAAGCTGAAATTTTGATGGGCAACTCATTAACCTTTTCACAGGTGTGTAACATCGTTACACCTCGGAGGCATTTTTAAAAGCCTTGTCACGTTAAAACCTGATAAACAGTGGTAAACAATACGTGACTCGCGATGTTGTGTGATCGCTTCTGTGTGATGATTAATTTATCGCGTACACAACGCGCGGAATTATTTATGTGCATTTCCAATTTGATAAAGTTGCGGCATCTCGTTGAGCCGGCTCGCTTTAGTCGGGTGAAACCCCTTTGACTTTTTTTAAACCATTGGAATATCAATTACGAATAAAATATATCATTTCGCGAATATCGCTCGTTGCGCGGTTTTTGCCAGTTTCCAAAGTTAATTAGGGTCAATCGGATGTAAATGCTACTCAAGAGGATGCAGTCGATGAAATTGCATTAACCATTTATATATTAGCTTCGTCTGCGTTTTCCACGTGCGGTAGAATCATTCGAGCGTAATTTATCGCGTGCGTTAAATACTAATAAAGGTTACACGCGTGGAACTTGCAATTTCTGCAAGAAACAATAAGTCAAATTTCGAGCGAATTTAATTTGCCCGCTCCAGTCTGCGTGTCATTCGCCTCGTGTAACAGTAAAAGTTCAACGGCAGATGAGTGAGAGTAATAAACAAAACAAGCTTTCTATTTATTTATTAAACGATGTATTATGCAGACCGCAGGCAACGCCATTGGGTAGATAAATTTCGCAGGGCAGCAACGCCTGATATTGACAGCGGATCTATATATATCTATAATATTAGTTCCTCATAGCCATGTCCTATGTATGTATATATATATATATATATATATATATATATATATATATATATATATATATATGTATGTGTGTATATGTATGTGTGTGTGTGTGTGTGTGTGTGTGCTTTATTTGATCCGCAATAATGCAAAATCTGTGCATCTCGCGCTTCTTATCACGAATAACGAACTTTTTCCACGTTGTATTTCTGCAAAATAAATACTCTATACGTGTTTCTTTCATCAACTGACTGCACACGCAAGATTTCACACGGATTTTGTTATACGTTATTGTGATGAAAAGCGCCCTGAAAAAGTTAATATTCTTTCAGTTGTGCGATAATTAAAGAAAACCCAAGTGTATTAAAGTAACAAATAAATCTTTTGTTTCAGGTTTCCTGGGTGAGGCACCGAGATATACACCTGCTAACGGTTGGTCGTTACACCTATACGAGCGACCAGCGTTTCGAGGCACTACACTCTCCTCATACGGAGGACTGGACCTTGAGGATACGATATCCTCAGCGGAAGGACTCCGGGACTTATGAGTGCCAAATATCAACGACCCCGCCCATCGGCCACCACGTGTACCTAACAATAGTCGGTGAGCAAATAAAAATGTTTCACAACACTAATCTAGTTCTGCAATAAGAAACTGAAATCCGAAAATTCGTATGTGTGATCAGGGAATATTATATCACCATTATGCTCGCTAACGATCTTATGAATTTCGCGAACCTCCAATTTTCCTTAAGATAGAGTTTTCATTTCGATAAAATACGATTTCAAAGTTTTGAAATTGTATTTTATTTTATTAGAAGACATATTTATTTGGAAAGATATAAATTTTCTAGTTGCGAAATTGACGGATATAATATTACTTCGAAAGTTTTCCATAGCTGAAGAAAGTACAACTGCTACAGATGTTTTGTAAACACCATTTAATTAACTGATATATATGAAGTGGAATTTTTGTTTACAATTAATCTGATTAATTAAAATTTTGGAAATCTCTTGTTTAATCTTGTTACTACATAATTTAAATATACGGAGCCGAAATCTTTCCAATTTTTTATCTCTGTTCAGCAAAAATTTAATTGAATACCATATGCATTATCTTCTTTAGATTTTTAATTCTCTGAATCCTAAATTAAAATTTAAAAAAACTTAACACGTTCTCTCTTGCCATTGTAAGTATACATTTGGTGCTCTGCGCACTTCAAAGTGAAGCGTGAATATATGAGGTCGTATATTCTTGAAGATTTACCGTTAATGACTGTCGTGATACTTTGAACAGGCTGAGAGAGGACTTATCGACGCGTCTTGACCCAAAAGCTCACCCTACAACGTAGAATGAACTCGGTGCTTTATATCGCGCGATAAAAATATTGAATATATAGCGAGATTTGTATCACCACGCTACGGTCGTTTAACCGACCCGCCTGCACGATCGTTAAGTAGCTGCAGGCCGCTCAAGACTACCGTCCTATTTGTTTCAGAGCCGGTAACTGTTATAAACGGTGCGCCAGAACTCTTCGTCAATAAGGGCAGCACCATCAACCTGACATGCGTCGTGAGATACGCTCCCGAGCCACCCCCAACGATGACTTGGAGTCATAATTCGGAGGTGAGTGCCGTGCTCCCGCGAATGAAACGCGAATATGAGAGATGACAGATTTCTCGCAGAATTAAAAAGCTGAAATTTTTTTAACAATTCGGCTCTAAATTTATTTGTATTGAAATTTTTATAATAAGATCCAATTAAAGCTCTGATAAAAAAAAAGAGATTAAATTTCCAGCTTTATAATTTGAATATAATTACTTTTTATTTATGAGACTGTGTGTGGATTTTATGTGCATGCGACGATATGATTAGCGTGCAAAACAGATGAATTAAAATAAATTTAAATTTGCGGAATTTGCTTCTCCGTAATCGGGGATTAGTTTTGAAATTCCCATAAATGTCTACTCGCGGAATCCTCGGCTTAGTGTTCTATCTCCGACTTTCCGCAATTTATCTCACGGCGAGTCGCGTAACGATGCTCTTTACCACGTCGAGCAACACAGGCACGCATGATTAATACGGTCTGTTGACGCGTATTTTCTTTGCGACGTGGAAATGCATTCCGCTTTTAATACCACTTTGTGTAACAAAAGTTATTGTAAACACGCGTCTCACGGGACACAAAGAACGCATTATACCGCGGGACCCATTAATATTGACGAACTCGTTAAAATAATTTTGCGACATAACGTTCGTGGCATCGCATCACGTTTTATCACGGTGATGAGATAATTTTAAATTCCCCTCTGCGGGCCAATATTTGCAATTCCACGTTTGATATCGGTCGAGCGGAGATTATTCCGCGCGCGTTAATGAGACGGTCGTACGTGTACGCGCCGCTCGTATTAAAAACTCGTGAAAGCGATCGATAAAAAAAAGGAAACAGTAATTTCTCGGCTGATTGCCGATACATCGGCCGCCGGAGATACGCGCGCGCGCGCTACATTCGCCGGCTACGCGGAGCCGGCTTTTACTAGAATGAAACAGCAGGTAACGCAATTTTCGCAAGGTACTATCGCGCACGTTGATCAAAGTAAAACGCGAAATGGAAGATCAGCCACGCGCGCAGGTCGCGCGACAGCCGGGTTACGGAATTATTTTTCGATTAATTTCTCACGGTTTTTTTTTTTAATTCGCCGATAATTATTTATTCCGTAATGCAATATTCGGCGAAACGATTGCGCCGTATCGTACGAGACGCAGCGAGTTGGTCTCGTAGAAAAGAGGAGAGAAGCAAAAGAACGGAAGAAGAAAAACGAAAGGGAGAAATGCGGTGGATATTTTACGTTCTGTACGGGGCGTGCCGCTACGTGTCTATCCTCAAAGGGAATACGAAAGAGAAACGTATATACGCGCGCTGCTATTCTTTACCTCGTACCTCGGAGGAAGGTGCCTTTTATCTTCCGCTAAAGGGGCGTCATTGCGTTGTCGGAAAGAGCGGGGATTCCGGGGAAAACGTAAGGAAACAGGCGCGGTGTCTTTGAGAGGATGATTGCGGATGAGACGCATACGGCGCCGCGCCTATGTGTTCGATATTAGACGACGCGAATCAAAAGAAGAGTTAGCTTTTATTTCCGGTATTACTTGTTTCCCCCCCTCCCCCCACCCCAACGTTATTATCTCGCAGAACATAGTCCGCAGAAGTACAATAGTGTAAAGTTCAAATAAGGTACTTCGTCTCATCTGGATCTCATCGACATGTGAATTACGAGAAGCCTTAGATATTACGCCTTTAATCTCTTCTTAATCATACTATATTTTCTAAAAAATTTGTGTTTTTTAGCTAATTAAATAGGTGACATGTGACGTTAACTCTTCATCTCTTTTGACTTGTTTGTTGCTATTTGTTAGCAATTTAATCACAAAATAATGTTTTGCAATATTGTTATAATTGCGAATATTTCATTACATCTGTAAACTTAATATTTGTTATTACAGCTGTTGCATATTTATGTTGATTGTACATTATTTTAGTTTGTTCTCAATTAAACGTTGCACACGTAATGTTATTGATTTTTCAAAGAAAATATGGATATATTGTGATATTTTTTGTACAGATCATCAATTTCGACTCGCCGCGTGGCGGTATCAGTCTGGTCACTGAAAAAGGTCCCGAGACAACGAGTCGTTTGATGATTCAGAAAGCCGTGCCGAGCGACTCCGGGGTTTACCGGTGCGAGCCGAGCAATGCGAATCCCAGTAGCATAAAGGTGCACGTTGTTAACGGTGAGTTGAAAAATTTACTGCGTGTACACCCTGCATCGTATTACTATAAAACAATTATTTCGTTGAATCCGTATTTTCGCGCGGTGACCTGTTTTTTCCTCTTTTTTTTTCCAATTTTTTATGGTACTGTCGGCGCGTAACTTTTTTTCCAATTTTGAACCAGCATTTTGCGGGCTTCCGGTAAATTGGAAAAAAAATTCGAGATCCAAACGGTTTTGCCGCAATTACAACGAATCGAGAGAAATAGCACCCGCTGTGTCTTGCGGTTGAGAGAACTCGCGGAGAACTGCGGAGAAGTAAGTTGATTGACTTCTCTGTAAATATTGCGAGCTCCGAGTCCACCTGGCAAGTCGCGCGTTAAGCCTGAAATCGATGGCTGCGGCGAGTGGATTGCTCGAGCGCAGAATAGATCTCGCGAAATGTGGCGGATTTCGAGATCTTGTTTTTTTCCCCTTCGTTTTTCTCACACGATGCACTCCGCGAGATACGTCGATTCGCGATGACAAAGCGATTTAGCCTGATTTTTGCACGAAATCTCGCGCAATTTCCGGGTGCATCCGGTTACGAGCGAAATAAAATCAAATGAAAGCGGATTGTTTTGTCCATATCGAAAGAAAGAGATTTTTTTCGTTTTGTCCGTAACTCGATATATTTTTGAAGCTGGTGGAATTTACGAGCTTTATCTCTCGAGCTTCAAGCAATCAAGCGCACGGTGCGACTTTACGTAAAGCTTACAAGTTGATTGCGCGAATTGTTTTATCGTCTCTAAATGTTATTCTTTTATTCTTCCTTCCTCTCGTTTGTTTCTTCTCCCATGAGATGGAATCTATCGCTTTATTTAAAAAAATTTAAGATATCTGAGAAGATGAAAGAAAAAAGTTTACGGAGCAAACGCGGAAAGATAAAGCATTATTATTTTTTCTCTACAAACGATGATCTTTATAAACACATTGTTGCATTTTGGAACATATTTGCTGGCCATTTAGGGACTCATCTATAATTCTCTCGTGCCTCACAATGCGTGACAAATGGTCAATGTGCCATAATCAAAGAGCGGACATATTAATTACAAATTTGAAGCACTAACTGAATTTAGAGCAACAGCTGACGGTTTGGCCGGACGGAACGGTCCATCGATATGAACTAGTATGCGTATGGCGGATGATATGTTATCGTCATCATGTAAGCGTCAACCATTCACAGCGTTATTGTTGCGCACGCCGCGTGTACTGTTTTTTCGCTAAATATAACACAATACATCTCCATCGGAATATTTCTGCGTACAACATCATTCGCTCTTCCCCGCGCAAAATGCCGAACAATGGCGCGCTCAAAATTTCACGCCATTCGAATATTTCGTTTATTACCATCTCGTCCCTTTGTCCTATTAAAACTGGCGGCGTAAATCACAGAAAGCATTCAAACTCATCTCGTATCGATAGCTTCAATTTAGCTTGTCGTCTGAACTGATTAAACGTCCGGTGCATTATTAGTTTCAGACTTGCGAGGAATTTGTATCGGTTTTCGATGGAGTCGGTATTTGCTAGTTTCCGAGGTTACACCACAAGTTAACTACTTAAGTTTTATATAATAATATCGTAGAGGTGGTAATACGTGTGGCTTTTCATGTTCCGAACTTCCCTTGTGACACGTAAATAAAATTAGATCAAGTAAAATAATAATCCCGATACACACATGACATTTTGTGTTTTACGTTTAACGCATTTTTTTTTTTTTTTTTTTTCATGTGTACTTTTAATTTAGGTATTGAACGTCATCGTAAAGATGGATCTTGCATACAGAATGAAATCTAATTTGTTTGCAATCGCTTCGCTTCCATCGAGACCGCCGTGTCGAATCGATGAAAATTTCTGTTTCAGAGGAACATCCAGCCGCGATGCACCACGGGGATGGAAGCTCGTCTTACAGCAAGACACGGCCGATTTGTTTTATAATTTTAGTGATAGCTAATGTAATGTTTATATAAGGCGAGAAGAGTACGGAAACACACACTTACCCGACACGATAAAACATGAAAGGCGCGATCGCCGAGAGAATCGCGGATTGCCTATTTAACGTCGTTAACGTTTCTTGGGTAAAAATATTTGTGCAGGGTAAAACCGAACATTTTACCATTTACATTAAAAGAAAAGAAGAAAAAAACCTTCCGTGACCAAAAGAGTTTTCAAATATCAGCACGGCACAATAATCGGTAAGAGCGTAGTATTTTGTTAACGTATATCATCAAGAACGAATAACTTACGACGTCAAAATTTATTGTATTATTTGTAAATAAATTTATTGTATGTACATATCAATAAAACGATTGTCTTTATCTTGATCGTCTGGTTCTTGCATCAATCTGCCAAGCCATCGTAAGCTTATGCCGAGATTGATTCCCAGTCGATCTATCGTATAAAGTTAATAATATTAATTTTCATTTTTTTTTCAGAGTTTTGAACAATAATTCTTAAGTTCTCTATTCTTTCAGATTACAAGTATATATATGCGAGATAAATGGATTTTCCTGCTGTTTTTTTTTTTTCGGAAAAATGTAAATGCAAAATCGTCGCTGACAGCATTAGGCGTCGCATCGCAAGTTTCTCTCAGAAGCGTTGCGTCGATCACGACCGGGGAAGTTTACCTCATTATATTTCGAGGAAGTTTATCTCGTTGTATTTTCGTCGCGCGGATTTTCCTCAGGGACGCGGAAAGAAGAAACGCCGGCGCTCGCGGACACCGCTACTAATGACAACATTAATTACACCGCGCTATCTCGCGCTCGTTAATTACGGTGCGGCGCTAAATTTACCATGAAAAAATACGGGCGTGTAAATTTCGCGTTCAATCGCGCGGCGATGGCCTCAATTAATCAGAAACAAAGGTCTCTTGCCTCTTCACGTCTGCGAACGTCTATTTTTAATTAATATTAACACGCTCGTTTAAATTTCAGTACAAATTTATCCGAGATTTACTGAAATAAACGTGAGATGAAAGTTTGTACACTAATATCTTCCTACATACACAGATTGCAATTTTCATATTACCGCAATTGGATTCGCATCTTTAGATATCGCTTTTAGGGATCGCTTGATACACACGAATCGCTCCCTGTTAACCCTAATAGCGTGAACCAAAAGAGCGTCACGTCAATTGGCCGCGGTGCATCGTGTGGCGTTCAAGTGGTCAATAAGGTCGACCAGGTTTGGCTCTCTCGAGCGTGGAATCATGGGCGGGGCGGTCCTTGCACGTTGCCGCTTGCTCCAGGGACCGCAAATGTTTGCCCTCCTTTCTTTCTCCGGCTTCCGTTCTGGCGGCCGCTCGTGCAGTGTCATCGACTTACCAGCCACGAAAAGGTAGGGACCGAAGGCTGGAAGTCGGGTATGTTCTGCTTGTAGACCAGATTGAAGCCACTCGTGTCAGCGCAAGCGTCCACCATCACTGCACGGCACGTCCATTATCACTGGAAGCATCGGCAAAGCGATCGAAGGGTTTTCATCGTGCGCCGTGCTACCAAATCGCTCTTAACTAGATCGCGGTGATGGAGTTTGCACAAAGTAGATTAGCAAATTACGAAGTATGCCGCTATAAGTCTCTTTTCTTAAACCCCTTTGTACCAATTTGTATTTGTCACTACATAGGCGAGTATCGAAAGTATCATTTTATACATTATATCATAATTTGTGATGTTTTATATATCTGTTCTTCTATTCTAGATTTCAGCTTTACGTCTACTTTAATCTATTATCGTTGCACTGATTAATTTTCGAACGGCGTTTAAGTTCCACTGCGAGCAAAAGATTTTTGTAAATTTGTCCCGAACGTCGATATTGATAGATTATTCACATATGATAATTTTAAATGCAAAAAAACGATATTTCTATTTATTTTTCATTATTGAAGAATCAATTTGACTTATCAGTTTTTGCGATATAGAATATTATTACAAGGATTGATCGATCGGTAGGTTAATAACGATCCGCTTATGAATGTTAAATATTTTTACTTGATACGATTCCGTTTGACAGATTCAAAGAGGATCAAATATTCGAAAAGAAGTTAAAAAAACCAGTGCGGTTTTATTATTTAATAAACGGAATATTTTCAGTCCTCTCGCAGGAAAGATAGGATGTAGAATTCAATAATAAAAGGTCATCCATACGAAGGGATAAAGGATTGGAACGCATAAAATTATCCTCAGATAGGAATATTCGGAAATTCAGACGAGCTTATTATGCAACGTCATGACTCACAAAAGCTTCAGTGTTTAAATTTATTGATAGTCGTAATAAAAAAGATTCCATTATTATGAACCTATTATTTTTATTTGACCTGTTATTTTCACTTGATGTCTGTAAACTCAATATCTGCATATTTTTAAAATCAAATTCTACATTACAAAAACTTTTATATGTAGATGAAGTTGCTTTGATATTCGATGTCGATAACATATACGATATATGTAAATATGCAATATTTTTTTAACTTGCAGCACAAACATTTTAAAAAAATTTTATGCTTACAAAAACATTGGACTCTTAACAAAAAACCATAAAATCATTAATAAGTGATCGATACTAATGAAACATTAGAGACAGAATGATTTCAATTAATCGCTCCACTTGAACTCTATCATTCAGGGAAGGCACAATCGCGGAAGTGCATAAAAGATATATAATCGGCAATCAGGTGTTTGGCCATTTCAGGCTCGATAATTGCGCCCGGGAAATCTCGCTAACGCGGTTAATTCCTCGCGTAAATCCATCACGTAGGGCACGTGGCGCTTATCGGCGTTACGTCGCTGCGAATTATGGCTGCCGTTATCACCCCGGCGAACCCCGGGAGAGAGGGCCGTCTCGGGTCGGCCGTCTGCGCGACGCGTAACTTGTCCAATCGCGAACTGCGGTCGCCGATACTCGCGATTCCTGAGCCTCGTGCGACACGAGGTGTCGATAGCGCATCCACGTTCCCATTTTCATCCATTCACGTCCAATCCCCGCTCGTCCACCCCGAAAGAAACTTTCCTCCGATACTTGACAACTTTCTCCTACTCGTCCTAAATTCCATTTCCTGTGCTTACCTTTTCACCAGGCTCTCTAACACACCGGAGTAGAGGCGTTTCGTCAACTAGGCGGATACATGCGCGTATTGATCTCGATTAACCAGACCGACATATCCTCGGCCACCGTGAAATCGCCGTACAACTCGTAGCTGCAACGGCGCCTTCCCATGTAATCTTGCGCCACCAGCATCAAAATGATGACCTCCGCCATTCTCGGGTAAATCAGATCGCAATACGGTTCGCCCGCATGGCCCGCATGGATCCGGTAACGTAAGTACAATCGATAAATCTTTGATTAATTTATTATCTTGCAATTAAAAAAAAAACATTAAAGAAATATAAATGGCTTCTTCTGTGACTTGAAGATAAAGGTATACATATCTTATATGTGAATAATTGAGTTGGTTTTCACTTATAATTATAGAATACCGTAATTCTTTCAATTTTAAAATGTTTATGGATCATTTTTTATCTTTTTCTAGACATTGAGCTTTATATTAAAAATAATCTTATTGAATTATAAATTGAATAATAGATTGTAGGATTTTCGATTAAATTATTTGACAAAAGAATCAATGCGCTTTGATTAAATAATTTGAAGTCTGTGAAATTTGATATGCAGATATCTTACGGCTAGATATGCAAGAAAAAGTTTTGCCGCAATGAAGATTTTCTTAAATAAATGGTTCTTGTATTATCATTTTATGTTTCTTTATCAATATTAAAAATTTTACTTTGCTTTGAGCTGTCCCGCGGTTTTTTTGTCAAACACATTGATAAGAAACACAAATAACTTGTAAGTCAATGAAGTTACTATATATAAATTAAAACATTGGAATTCATATTACGATATGACATTGGGTAATGTCCCATTTTAACTTTACAGATAAAATCAGTCACTCAATGTCATAGCGGATATGAATAGCGGAGTTTGAAGTCTGCATAACTAAAAACATGAAACACGTATAATACGTAGGCAAAAATGATTTAAGTGCATTTTTAATTCAGACAAAAAACGAAACGCGAGTTGAATAAAACATATTTCGTATGCATTGGACAAATTTTAGCGGAAAAAGTTTCGGTTATGCGGTAAATTGAAACGTTTGTGGAATATGTGTGATGGAAAGGTCCACTCCACGTCAATAATCAAAACGAAAGCTCGTGTTTCATTGAAAAGTGCAATTATTGTAAATAATATAAACTATGGTTTCGCAAACAACTGTATCGTTTTTCACGTCCGATCGACATAAATAATAAATTTTAAATGTTGTAATTTTTTGTACTGTCGGGAAAAAAAAGCATTTTAAATGGATTGCTATTCACTAAAGGACGACTCCTCGAAACCGCGAGAGTGATCGCGTAACGTGCGCCAACTCATCGACCCGCCCAGGCCCATTCACGAGCAACACCGCGGATAATATATATCGCCGCTCCATTCGCAATTACTCGGGTTGAATATACGTCGCGTCATTGAAAAATTCCATTCGATTTGTCATCCGAGAGAGGACGACGGGATAGTACGACGAGGCCATTATCGTCTGCGGAACGGTGCCCGAGCGCGTTCTCGGACGAATGCGCTTCTCGAAGAAGGCGTATTTGCACACGGGCCCTATCAATTTCCTCTCGGAACGTCCCCGAGGGCCGGCACAGTCGCCGATCCGCGTGACGAATGGATAATCGAAACGTCTCACGCGCGTAACGCGGCGGACGAGAGATTACTTCAAATATTCGTTCAGCGTCGCACAGTCCCCCATCCTTGATCGCGCACCGATTCGCTGCTGGGCTCCTCGGTGTGCCATCCTGCCTGCGACGCTGCTTGCGTCTCGTTTTGTCGTCATACCTTTCGTGAATGGCGGTATTGTAAATATAAATGGTTTCGTGGTAGGTCGCGCAAAATGTGTACGGCTTCGTATTGAAGCGGAGAAAGGGCTTCTCTAAATGAATAAAGGCGTCGATTACAATGAAGACAGATATTAAAGTCAGAGTCTGCTGCTAAACAATTTTCGTTTTTAGTTAAATAAAATAAGCGTAAAAAATCAGCATGAAAAACAATGATAATATAATATATAATTCGATATATCGTTTATTATGCATCATATTGGCCAGACTCCAACTTGAATAATTCTCTCTCTCTGACAAGGTTTTTTTTTGCATCGAATGGTATTCGGATTAAATTTACGTTAATATAAAAAAATGTTTTTTTTTACGTCATGTGGTGAAACGATTTAATGTTGTTCCAACCATATCGTGAGAAAGAAAGTGCTCGTCACCAAATATCA